AGAAGAGAGAGCGCGCGTACGTGCCGTACTAGCGGCCTTTTGACGCATGGAATGCGCATTCTGTTTCACAATAGGAGCCTCCTGATATAAAGAGCGTGTCTGGTGGGCATAACAGGGGCCACCCAACCAGCAAAGATACCGTACCACAAAATTACGGGCCTTCTGATCATGAACATGGGCTGCTAAATCCATGAATGGAATCTGTTTATCCAGAAAACGGGCCTCTTGATGAAGAAGGGGGTTTCTGAGTCTGATTAAGTACCTGCTAGCTTAGTTATAGGGACCTCCTTGATCCGAATACTGGTGACGTACGCGGAGTCACAACACCTTCAGTTTGAGCAAAAGGATTGCCCATGATTTGGAGGGGTCAAAAACAAAATATCCCCGCCTGGCAGGCAGTGGAAGGGTAACTGCCCCCTCTGCCCCCTCCTGCCGTGCCGAACCTAGGGCACACCGGCATCAAGGACAATATGCGACAAGGCTGAACATGCATCACTGTCACCAGTCCTCACCTGTCCGGCCATCCGGCGATCGACGAGATAGGAACGCTGGACTTGCAAGAACGGCGAGTAGCACTCGCCGAGTATTTGAAAACCACCGAAGACGGCCGTGCTCTTTTATTGTGGTAACATCTAGCGCGGATGGCCGTGCCCTAGCGTTGCACGCTCCACGACGGAGATTTCCTCTCCAGCGTGTTTTTCCTTCGATCTCCTGACCGGCGTGTTTTCATTTGACCGCAGTGTCATGACCCGTTCGCTCCCGCGCCTGACGGAGCGGCCCGTGGTGGGCCGCCGCGATTGGGCCAGCCAGGGTCACGAGGGTGTATATGGGCTGTGACGTCACACGAACGGACGCCGGGCGGGCGCTGCGCGAGCCACCGGGAGTCTGGACTGGGGAAGAGAGTTGGTGGGACCTGATCCGCTTTGAGTTATGTTCGTGAAGGTAATTTAGGTCTAATTTCCAACGGGCTATGTGGAGTTGGGGCGACTGAGTTGGGTGGAACAGTACATTGACCAGCAGGTTGGGATAAACAGTTAGTATCCGCACAATAAACCATCCCTATGCTCTGATTCCAACAGTAACTCGCAGAGGTTGTGACCACGGTATTCATTGGGTTTAGCTTTTGGGGAAGTGCGCTGTCACGGGCAGCAGCAAGATTTTTACAGCAAGAGGTTTTATGGTTTGCATTTTAGAATCTCTGCATGTAAGTTAAGAAAGGTCGCAGCAGCGTTGGTAAGAGCGGATCTGAAATGTAGTAAATATGACCCTGGCATCGGGATTCATACCATTGCATTAAAGCGTCAGAAACGCATATGTCGGCCCAAAACGCAATAGGCATTGGGAGGGCAGTTACTGGAGGCTGAACATATGTTGGCCTCGATTTGGAAAGCGGGCGGATGTTGATTACAGGTCAACGCCTTGGATGGCGTGTCACGGCTGTTGTGTGCCGCTGGGTTGGGCGCCTCACCAGATTGTCCGCCAGAAGACGAGATACGACAGCTGTGCACGCTATGCAAGCAACTGACTGATTTGAATGAACGCTTCGCCCACTTGTGCGATGGCCTGGTTCCAGGTACACGGGTATGAACGACGCAGAAACGTAGCCAGCAACCATTATTTGCATCCCGACAATGTTTTAGTGAAAGCTTTGGTGATTCAACCACATGTTCGTGGCAGAATTTGATGCTGCACCGGCCTGGCCGTGAGAAGATGTGCGCGGGTCTCAACTTTTGTACGTCACGAGCGTAGATGATTCAGTGTTTTTATTGGTTTATGGCATAGGCGTAGGAACGTTTCAAAAAGTGGGGGGGGGGGGCAAGCTCAGGGTGCACTTGCGAACTTTTTCTGGAAGGCGAGGCCGATGACCTGGGAGGGGGGGGGGGGGGGTAGGGATGAAGGTTGTTATCGCTCTTTATTCAAATGCCATGGCTGCTAGGCTAGATATGCATCTAGAGCTGTTTTTCACTGGTGCACAATCTTGCCTATTCGACTTATCTGTCATTTGGCAGATAAGGCTATCCAGCTTTCTTAGATTATTCGTTCATTTTAGTATTGTCTTTCCTGGGAGGTGAAATATCACGAGCGGGTAGACATTTTGGATCATTGAGGAAGCATCTGCCTCCACAGCGTAGATGCCAAAATACGGCCTGGGTATAGGCTGGTGAAAATTTTGAAAGTGGATCGATGGCTCACAGTGCGACGGATTTTTCATGCGTCTTTATTTCGTTGGCTGCTTTTTCAAGAGATAAGCCTTGTCGCAGCATTTTAGGCGGAAATAAATTCGTAGCTTGAAATTGCTGGAAGCAATGTGGCAAAAGCCATAAAACTGGAGAATCTCTTTTAAAAATCAAGGCACATAATAAGGCCCATCTGTCATATGTTTCTTTTTTGGGTCCTGCTCCTGTCCGCTGTCGGTGGCCAATGCCCGGCCTGGGTGTCTCCCGCATGACCGACTACGAACTGATCGTACGGCCGCTTTGTTGCATATTTTTGGATCAGCGTTACTACTACATGGCGTTTGAAACATGTGTTGGACACCTGCAGCATCACCTTTTTCCGAATCATCTTCCCTCACAGCACACCATCGCAGAACAATAGCCTCCGGGAAGCTGTCTGCCTTAGGAATTAATTGGCCCAACGGACAATCCATTGCCCATCGTGTAACATATACGACTCGATCTGCTTTTGCGTGTAGGCAGGGGCGTAGCCAGAGCCTTGCCAAGGGAGAACACAAGGTTGACAAAGCCCATCTTATGGTGACCCCCCCCCCCCCCCGCCCCAAGATCCCCGGATATAGTTTACTTGTTAACAAGTAACACGATTTTCTTCGTTTTATTGTTATTTTTGCCTTGTAACCATAACAGAAACCAGGAGTTACAGTGAGCTCAGTTCTGTTTGCATTTGTAGGCCAATAACCTGCATAAATCAGGCGTTGAGTGACTGCATGGAATAAATCACCTGGCGCTCTCAATTTACAATGGTTAGTTGACTCTTTCTAAACCGATATAATTGAGATGCTATGTCAACATTTCTTATCTAAGTACTGCAGACATTGAGGACATTGCGAAGGTAGATTATAGATCAATACGTTTGATCCAAATTTGAAGATGAAAATTTGGTTGCAGATCGAGTGGTCAACAATGTGTATTAACATGGCCAAGACATGCTTATCTGACATTGTTCACTATTCAATCAGAATCGATTAGTGATACAATTCATGTAACTTTTTTAACACGCGCGAGCCCGGAACCTAATATTTAGCCATGGCCCACCAGTGGATGAAATTGATGACGCTTCCGAAATGATTACGTTTAAACACTTCAATCGACCAGTGATGCAAGTTATGTGACGTCATTTTGAGCATGCGTACTCGAAAATCTTAGGAACACAAGCCTCGACCCCAGGCGTTGCAGTCTCCGCAGGGTGTGCAGCGTCGGCCTAGCAGCTAATACTAATTTGTGGCCAACGGGTGGACGAAAATGACGACGCTTCTGATAAAGTATTCTTGAAAGCTTCATGACATGAGATATTACATTTAGAATGCAGTCTGAGCGCATATTTCACGTGTGCAATTTTTTGACTGATGAAAATAACGGATTGGCCCTTAAAGCACCGCGAAGGGGGCTGGCATCTGAAAGTTGAGCTGGAGGAGTGAATGTAAGTCTATAGTTTTCGTGTTTTTGCAGCTATCTGTCAATCCAGAAGTACGGATTAACATAGCGCCCGCCATCTGGTGGCACTTGCAGTAGGCCGAAACTTTTCGGTTTTACGGATGTTGCGACCCAGACCATCCTTGTTGTTCCCCTCGAGGTTGCAGGCGGGCATGTTCGAGCGTTTTTATGTAATTTGTTTCAATAATACGGTCTGAAAAAATGAACGTTCTCAAGCAAACATCGCATAACCTTGCTCGTTTTTTAAGCTTACTTCGACCCACGTTATTCAACAATAATGAGGACACCCCTTTACCCAATAATAATGAGACCCCTAATTTCCTTCCGGGCAAGGGGCCTCCTGAGTACAAGACCAGGGGTACCTTACCGTTTCCGGTCAAGGGCTGAAGGGTCACTCCGTTCTATCGCGAAGTGTCCTTCTGGCTATCATTCTGGTGGCACGGGGCGGGGGATCTCCTGGCCGATCCGGAGGCTATGAGAAGGATATATCATATTCACATTGTTCCCCTCCCTGACACGGGAGAACCTCTGACCCGCGCAGTTGGCCCCGGATCAGCATGGGAACCCTCAATGACGCAACAACATCCATGATCACCGCAGGTAGTCCGATAGCTGCCACATAGACTCCAGTTCTGTATTTTCCTGTGTTTTTCAGAGATATTGAGTGCTCCCTGTTTGTAGATTGTAGATGAAATGGGGTTCCTAATTTGTAAAAACACGGCCAACCCATGTTCGTCTTAAAATGTTCAAGATCCTGTCGGAACTGATAACTAATAAGAAAACTACATAATGTGCTCTTGAACATGCGCGCTCGCAAGTCATAGCAATAACAGCCTCGAAGCCCAGCGTTGCAGTGTCCGGGCTTGAGGCGGCGGTCTTGTGGCTGTAACACTAAATGATGGCCGATGAGCAAATGAAAAAGATGACACATTTTAAGGGAGATGGCTGGTGAATTAGATAAATCGGCATGCATGTTAAATGTGGTGCAAAATAAAGCCGAATGCAACCTTAATCTGAGAGGTGTGTGGGGGGGGGGGGGGGAGAGTTAACATTGCTGCCCCACCTTGAAAAGTGGGGCCCATGGCCCCTCCGGCCTCCTGTTCCTACGCCCATGGGTTATGGTGTAGCTTAAAAACAACGATAGCACGAATGAGATATCTGCGGCATATGGGTACGAAGAGAGTGGGAAGGACCGCCAGCGAGTACTGCGGGTACTATAAGTCAAAGCCGTAACGGAGCCGTAACTAAGCCGTCTTCTAAGCCGGAGCCGTAACTAAGCCGTCAAAGCCGTGACTATATCTCTATTCTCCTGGTTTTTCCTGTTGCTCGCTAATGGACTAAGCAATTTACCATTTTTCGTGTCATTTGCCGGAGAGAAAGTCTGTGCCGAAGTCTTCGTATTTGGCTTGCGTTGGATCGCAATAATAAAGTCTTTGGTAAACATTATCATGACAAATATAGGAGCCGCCCAAAGCACTGCGCTGCAGTGATTTTCATATAGGGACGTAGAGGTAGTAAATCTTTCAAAATTTTGCCGCGCCGCCAAGTTTCTTAATATGCCCTACAGCCAATCCACCTAACCACACACACAAGTTGCTGCCTTACTCTGGTCACTTGATTTTTCAGCCGAGTCTGCCCATTTAAAAGATGTCAGACTCAACATTTAAGTATAATCAACACATAACCCGGCGGCACTGGGTACCAATCCCAGGGCGTTCGCATTGTTGAAAGTTGAGTTCTCCGTTCTCCCCAACTGAGATTCGCTACAAACATGAAGAACTACGCATAGTGTGAGAACGTAGCAGTGGCGCAGGCGGGGGGCCCCGTTCCTTAGGGCCTGAGGGGCCCACGAAACCGACAGTTAAGAGCCTGATTTGAGGGCCAGAAGGCCCGAAAGGCTGGCTGGAAGGTACATTAAGGAATTCTGCCCGCAGCGCCGTGATTTCAAATGTCAGAGGGCTTCTTGTACCGATTAGGACACCCTTTGACAATTCGGGCCCCTATTCCGCCCCGAAACCACCAACACCGAGCGGCTCGTGAGCGGCTCGTGAGCGGCTCGTGAGCGGCTCGTGAACGGCTCGTGAGCGGCTCGTGAGCGGCTCGTGAACGGCTCGTGAGCGCGGCTCGTGAGCGGCTTGTGAGCGGCTCCGTGTCAGGTTCTGAGCGCAAGGAGCCCATTTCCGGAGCAGGCACGAGGCCGGTGCCCGCGCATATTGGTAGCCCACAGAGTTCATCGAACACTGCCAAAAAAGAACAACAGATGCCATGTTTGCGACCATTAGATCGTGCATCTATGTAATTGGTTAATTACTAATATCAATCACTGATATCACCGGACCAAGTGCATGGCGTGACTTAGTGACACGGGACAAAAACTGACAATCTTTGTCAATTAACGAAACACAGGGTGCTATCTTTAAACGCCGTGAGGGCATGGCGACTGGGGCTATATCAGTGATGAAACAGCCGGCATGTTCAGTGATAGTGTTGGTGTTACCTAGATTTAAGCGATACCTTAATTTTGCACAGCACGCCATTTAGACTTTCAGATGTCCAATGTAAACACCGAGCAAGCTAGTAATGACACTCGCTCCGACCCCCTTTCTCGGCATTTTGGGAGACACCTTAAGTGTATTGGAGTTGCGCTTAGTCATCGCACATTGACCTGGCAAACGTGACAAACTCGTTTGAAAGGCGTCATGTACTTGTCAAGCTGTGATGACACTTGCCGCCGCTGCCGCGTGTTTTTGTGCGGCAGTTCTGGTCAGTGACCGCCTAGTGATAGTGCAGCAACCATTTTCTGTCATGCATTTACGGTCGAAAACGACAGTCCGTCTTACTAAATGCTGCTTACAAGAGCAAGTATAATGCCACGCATGTGGCCAAACGTGGTATTATACTCCGTCACATGAATGGTACTATGTACATGCCATGCGATGTTCATTGTTGGCGATTGTCATGCGTGAAGTGTCTCATATGTTTGGCAATCGAGCTGCAGTGGTTTTGAATTTTAACTTGGTGCCTTTGAGCGCTGCGAAGAAAGAGTTAACTCTAGATCTAAGTACGTCCTTAGAGATGTCGACAGGGTTTAGGCTATGGAGACCGTTGCTATTGGAGTTTACCACGCACTGATTTGCTATACTATTACATATGTATATATATATATATATATATATATATATATATATATATGCATATACTGATACTATTACTACACATTAATGCTTGCACTAACGTGGAATTGAAAACAAGAAATACTAAAAAAAAAGCTCTGAGCGAAACTAACGCCTGCCCTCTGCTGCTTATAATGAACCCGACCTGGAGAGCAGACACTACAGCTGTAATTATCTTTTAGGCAGTAACATACATTATGAAGTCGTATGATTGGGAGTTTAAAGATGGTTAAGCTGAATACTGTTATTGAATTGTTATGAGCTGATGTTTAATAGCTTTAAGATTGGTTCAAATTTCATTGGATATATTTATCTACACTTACCAATAGTTCAAGGACAAGTTTTATCTCTGACTTGGTTTCCGGCATGGATATGGTTTATAGACAAGCAAAGTTAAAAACGATGCCTTGACAATGTTGGAAACACAAATGTGACAACAAATCATTCGCTTTTAAAACATATTTGCTCATACATGTGCGTGAAAAATGCACAACATTAACTGTGAACGGCAGGTCAATTGTGTCTCTCCAGTCGAACTGCTTGCGTAACTTTGAGTCGCGAATAAAGAGGGGAAAGCGTGAAGAAATTCACAATCCATACCTGGCTATATTGGTCACGTTATAAGCAACACGTCCAGGAATGGCTTCGTGCATGTGCATATTCATCCCAACACAGTAAAGCCACTCCCGTCCAACACTCGAATCAGCTTGCCTCAACTTCTCAACTCAACTCAACTCAACGTCGACACGCACACAAGACTCGGATGGCATAGTCAACACCACGTCGTTTGGCATGAGCTGAGTTGTGTAATCCCGTGTTTTACAACCGAACGTCCCTGACAACGTTGTCGCGCCACAAGCGCCATCACATATCACGACACCGCCTACCACAACAGCATCACCGAACGCTCAGTCGTGCTTCGCCGTCTTGTTCGTCTTCGAGAACATCATCATGACGCAGTGGCGCAGGCTCTCCTGCAGCTTGAGGCCGACACACTGGTCCCAGAGCGTGGGCGAGTACTGCTGGGGACACTCGATATGCGGATCTTGCACGCGCCTCCAGATGTCCTCGAGGTCCTCAGTCGGGATCTGGTGGGCGCCGATCAGCAGCCGGAACAGGCACGTCTTCGAGCTGGGCACGTGGTAGGTGAACATCTCGGGCGCGCGTTTGCGCCGAACGCCCGCCAGCTGCGCGCCGATGCCGGTGATGGTGACGTCCTCAATGAAGAGGTACGGCCGCTCCATCACCCGCTTGTAGATGCCGCGCGTGGCGTCGGAGGAGATAAGGTAGATGGGGCCTCCCGTGTACTTGGGGTACTTGGGCTTGTCCCACACCTCTGGGCTGGTGTAGTAGCGCGACTCGAGGTTGCGGTCCGGCTTCGGGTCGTACACTACGTTGCCGTATACCACGCGCCGCTCGTTCTGGTGGTGCTCAATGAACGTCACGAGGTTGTCAACGCTGACGAAAAGGTCATCGTCTACCTTGAGCACGAACTGCGCGCGCCTGCAGTACGTGTCGAACCACTCGAGTGTGGCCAGCGACTTGAGCGTCAGGTTGTTGTAGTGGTCTACGAAGCTGGCCTGGATGATGTCGCCGAACGTGTCGCTCTCGCGCTGGATCGCCGCCTGCACCGCCGAATCGTTGGTGCGCGCCAACAAGAAGCCCAGCACCACGTCCTCGCGCTCGATGGCCGGCTTGGCCCAGGTTTTGCGCAGAACTTGGCGGATCTCAGCGTTGCCCGGGGCGCTCTGCACCATCATCATCACTTTGACGCCGGCGCCGTGGTGCGGGCACAATGTGTCGCTGGCGATCCTGAAGCCCGGCTCGTAGTAGTCACGGGTCATTAGCGGGCCGTTGCCCGTCGAGTTGCTGCCGGCTGGGTCTGCAGACAGCAAAGATAGCTTTAGCGTGGATCGCTCAGAAGTGCTGTGGTTAGGTCAGCGGTCGAGCTTGGGGTCCTGTGGTGGCTGTGGTGTCTCTCGAATGCCTGGCTGGTTTCCCTGCCCCGAAAACAAGTTTGGACCCATCCAAGCTCCCGCAGAACAGAACCCAAACATGAAAAAGCATAGGCGTTGTAGAAGAACCAGGATGTGATCGGGCCTTCTCACACACTCGATGATGATCTTTGTTTTGAGTGAGCCAATGATTTAAGATAATAAGTAAACCCTTAGCGACAGCTTGTAGAGCTCAAAATAAATACTCAAGTGGTTGAAAAACAACATAACATTGGTTCAGGCAGATCCCGTCGTCCAATGCAGGCTGACTCCTATTTCAACGGCTTGCTGATTAACACGCGCTCGGGTGGGGTCAAATTGACCTCTGAAGGTTTTCCAAAATGGTTTCCGAACAGCGCGGCGTATCCGCACCAAATTCTGCACAGCTGTAGACAGCTGAATAGCGGATCGTCTGGTACCAAAAATTTACATGTACCTTGCAAGGTCGCTGATCTATAGCAGGTCAGTCAGGCCATGATCTCAGAGAAGGTAATTTGTGTGGAATCGTTTAATCTGATCCAACAATGGAGTGTTAGACGAAGCCATACGTATCTGAGACACTTTCTTAAGCAATGCAACAATTCAATGAACAAATAACATTGACTTAAGATCAGTTATGAAGGTCAGGCCAAGGTCAAAATAAACCTGCTTTATTACTCTAGAGCTTGCTGTGTGGGGCAGTTTATGGTGCTCATTTCAAATTTATTGGTAACGGAAACCGCATTATACACCTTCCATAGACTTTTTAAAGGTCAGAACAGGTCACTGACAAAAATAACACATGTCAACTTTGTTTTTTAGGAACATTCTGCCAGCCGTAATCTATGCCCCTTTTCCAAATACAAAACTCAAAGTGGTCTTGTATGATTTTGGTCACCACGACTTTCAAAAGGTCGAACGAGGTCACTGACCACTGACCACTCACAGCAAGTGACCTTTTGCAACAGTTATTTATGTTTCAGGAGCCCTTTGGAAACTAACCTGTAATTTGACCTATGACCTTATTTGACCCGAAGGTAATGACCAAAGAACCTCTAATTTTCACCTCAGTGACTTCACGTACAGGTCAACGCATCCTGTGAATTTGGTGTTTCTAGCTTTCTTAGCTCCTGAAATCTCAGGCGGGGGTCAAATTGACCCCCCACCCAAGCCAAGGGTATCCAACCAGCCACCCGGGCGGGTGTTAAAAAACCCGCTAGTTGTGCTGACAGGAAATAGAACATACAGCGGGCTTCGACAGCCGCATTTGCGCCTAATGCTAAAACAAATGCTGGAGCATATTTCTTGTCAAGCAAAGCCTTTTTTAGATGTTCTTTGCCTTCCACGAATACACAGGCATGTGGAAGCCACAATGCATGTAGTATTGTGACTTCTAACAGCCGCAAAGTACGTCATTGCTTGCAAAGTATCGCAGTCAAAACACAGACATATTAATCGAGGAGGGACAGCGGGACCTAAAACAACAAAGCAGTCTCAGCTCAAATACATTTTTATCCTAGAGCCAAAATGGATTCAACACTGACGGAAATGAAAACTGACAATATAAATAGAAGAGTTCAACGGTGCAGAGCAGCAGGAATTCCGCCACCAGCTGCTCGACATCTGCGTGTGACAGGGCTCCATTACCCGCCACCTGCTCAGGGGCGGGATGTCAGAGGTCGACGAGCAGCCACCATCTGTTTGGAGGCCGCCGAACCCCGCACGGCGCGACGAGGCGTTGCCCGGAGATACACAGCTCGGGACCAGCACACACAACACGGCTCCGGTCCGGCCGAGGACACGCCTGGAGCACGGTCTCGGCGGGCTCCATCGCTGGACAGGCAGACCGAGCTAGAGGCGCCTGAGGCTGGGGAGGGGGAGGGGCGCTCGCCCCTCACCTGTGACCCGCAGCCTGACGTGCAGCCGCTCCCAGGGATGAGACGACAGCTGACACTCGTAGATGCCCGTGTCGTTCGTGTTCACGTTGCGGATGTATAGTGTCCACATCTGAGGGATGGGGCGGCCCAGGTCAGGCAAGTGTCACCGGCGTGCGCTCCCAGGCGATGCCTCTGGAGGAACCAGCGATTACTTCGGGACGGCGAAGTTCGACAAGCCGACATGCCAATCAAATGGAAATCGGATAATCACACGATCCAAAATGGCTGTCGTCCAGGCGCGGTGCGCACACATTACCACCGAGCACACACCGAGCCATTCCGTCCAATGATGGGTCTGCGGGTCGTGTTCAGGGGTCATTGACCGCAGACAAACCTCCGTGTGGCGGAAAAATTGTGCTGACACCCGCTTGTCTTGTGTAAAGGCCCGGTCCTGGACGGTTAGAAGACGTCGTGAAGGTTGATACACCCAGGCTACCTGCAAAGGCATGCATCGTTAGCATTCATATTATGCGGCTACAACAAATACTGGTCTTCTGATCAGAGCGGAGTAGGACAATGTCAGAAACTCTAAAAAAGGTCGTGTTACTAGTACGAAACTCCTGGGAAAGTGAATTAGCTGGCATCTCATAGGACCATATTTAAGGTTGATTCACGAGTAGCGTGCTGTTGACAAGGCCTGTATAGGCAATCATTAATCTCCTTTGGGAACATTTTATCTCACAACGGTAGACGCTTTATAATGACGAATGATCCTTGATGGAAACCATTTGTTTTTTCTGAAAATAAACATGAACGGTGGTGATTAATTCCACCACGGCTCAGATATGAGAATAATACCCAATGTTTCATGTTTCAATGGCAGTTTTGAAGTGCGTCCAATTGACCAAAACTTCCATTCCTCCTTGCAGTCCTCCCCCATGGCAATCCAAGCATGTCTTGCGACCGAACCTAGCCGAACCCATCTTAAAATGGCCAGAGCATTTATGTTTACGAGAGGTTACAGTAAGTGAAGTAAGTTAAGTGATAGGTTACGTTAAGCTAAGTAATAAATGAACAATAGCAATAGGGCCTTGGTACCTACCCTGCTCAACTGGTTACCGCAGCCTGAGGAAAGTCTTTGATGACGGAAACAAAGCAATTAAGTGCAATGCAACGAACAAACAATTTTCAATGGTGTTATTTATACAAACATCATTTGCTACCTTTAAAGGGACTGTCCCACCTTTGAGGCATACTTAAAACCATGCTCTGGTGAGAATTCAGGACCATTTACGTCTCGTGATAGCACTGGGTAGAGCCACCGCAGCACCAGCAATATATAATAACGATATAGATTTTCATGATTTTCGAGTCTGAGTTACGCCGTCAACGCCCTTTAACAGCAGTACACTTCTTCCTTTCATGGAAACCCCAGGGTGTATCCCGAGTCCTTGACAAATGCTGTTGTCACGACCGCCGTCGTCAAAACAACCGCGTCGTCAAGACGACAGCAGAATCTGCTGAGGGCTGTTGTCAGCTGTTACAGGTTAGAGGCGCCACGTTAATGCTGTTTCAACCCGTACTTTACGGGCTTGCGACTCAAGATGGCACCTCTACCGGTATGAGTGGCAAATGCTTCAAATACCACTTGCACAAATTGTAAAATTGTACATGCAGTTGCATTTTAAGTGCAAATGCTTGTTCGTGGTTGACACAGCGAGTGGTAAGGATCAGTCACCAAGAAGCGCATTGACTTTAAGTTTGAGCCAGTGTATCACTAAACACCATGTGGTACTCAGTTTCCCAAAGCCCAAGTGCGCTCCGAAAAGAGCCAATGTGATAAACGCCATACGGAAGAAGCCAAAGCCGTCGTATGGCGTTTCGCTGAATCGCGGGATAATAGTCTCATGTTTACATATCTTTTTCTCCAAAAAGAAAGTTCTAAGCTTTCGTTGCATTAATTACACAAGCATTTTGACAAATTGGTGTGTTGCTCACATTTTAGAAACTACAATTCGGAAAAAGCAACGCAGATGCAACGTTTTACTTTCGTAGTTGTGAGCAGCGTGGCCAATAAGACTTCTCCCGTAGGAGCGGCTACTTCAAATTGATATTACGAGATATCCAAAAGCCTTTCGAGAAAATCGGTATTCAAATCGAACGCGTATCAGGCACAAAGAAAAAAATGTGGCAAACCCCCTCTAATGCTATGGATGGGTGATATCCCTCACGAGCATGAACCTAACAAAACCAATTGCGTGAAAGATTGAAAGCACTTAAGCACTTTGTAAAAACGTATTAATGCAGAAAAAGGTGTTGAATTTCATCAATAATGCATTCGCAACAGCCGGGTTCCTAGTACCGGACCGTGAGTGCATTTGTGCATGTTTGACGATCAGAGTTATGGACTACCGAAATTATCGGTGCCCTGTCATTGGCCCATCATTCCACCACAACAGTCCGCCCGTCGAACAGAGCCGGTTGGCAGCTTCCACGATAGCCGTAAAACATGCTGATCTGGCAGCCAGCGGTCAACGCTCGGAACATCCTGATCACGCTCCCACCGGGGACGGAGCCAGCTGGAGTCCTTCCGACGCAGCGGGTACTGCCGACGGTCCCTTCGGCCCGGCAGAGCACGGCATGGACCAGCGGACACGACCCACTGCGATTGCTGGACGGCAAACGTCGGCGGAAGTGCTGTTTATCTATGGGTGAAGTCGCCTGTGCAATAAAGGCAGTCTCGTGTCAGAGCGGAGCCCTGCATTACGTCTCATTTTGTTACATGATGATTATTTTAGCATCTCTGTTTGCCGAACGCAGCAGGTATTTAAGCAAAGACCACCTCCGCTCTGGGAGTTGTCAGCTCAGCAGCTTATCTGCGCATCCGCTGATGGATTGAATAGCGGCACCGCTGAGGGCAGGATCCGTCACCGGTTCAATCGATGAAGCCGGCGCGTCCGGAGCGATGACAGGATTCGCCCGATCCGCCCGTGGCGCCAGGCACCACGGGGCTAGGCAGCCAGACTCGGCGGGTGATCGGAATCCACTGCTGTCAGCGGAGTAATTATCTCATCTGACTCGACTCCGGTCCCGACACGCCCGCCGCCACCGCCGTCCTCACCTCACCAAACCCGGCAGCGGGCGCCAACTCCGCGGCGGCCTTCGGAACAAAAGGCCGCAAACGGCGCACAATCTGGCCATTACCCCGGCCGTTCTCAGCGAACGCCGTCTGACGCTCGGGCCCGCCCGTGATGGGCTAATCACAGTCGAGCGGCGGCGTCGGCCCGCTCCCAGGCGCGGCCCGATCGGGCGCTGCCGCGGCGAGCGTCGACCGCGGCTGGCGACCCGCTGACCCCGCCCGACCGGTCGGGCGGCCGGGTCCGCCTCGGGCCCGGCCGACGCTCCCGGCCCGGCCCGGTCCCTACCCCCACGATCGCTCGCGACGCGGCACTGGCGGCCGGCCCATGCGCGGCTAACGGTGTGTCGTAACGGTGGCAACGTGCCGCAGGAGCCGTGTGCCGCACTCCGGCCACAGCGCGCTGACCGGCGACACAGCACGCGCACGCTACAGAGACCCAGCGCCGCCCACGCACCGCTGACGACCCCGTGGCAGCTTCGCGTCCGCTTGCAACAACTAAAAAGAGATAGACCGAAAGTCATCCTTTTAGTTACACGGTAATGGTTAGTTACTTGCAACGTGGAACCCACAGAGTGTCTGCTAAGTGTAACGAAAGTCTCGTCCCTGGCGTTACATCGAAAGTCGAACGTACAGGCCCAACCAAGAGAAAGGGTTGCCCATCCTCCGTTGAATGCACCTTACACCGATTTTTTTCGTTTTAACCACATATTGTTCCCGACAGTAAATGGGTTATTGCATGATGCGTTTTTCAATGACCTTTAAAAGGGAGTGTTCTACCTTTGAATGGGGTTTTGAACTGAAGTAGCCACCTTGAAGATCATTCGGTGCAGTTCGCGGTCTTAAGAACTAAGCTCCTCTAGTTGCTAGGCAACACGCTCGTGAAGATGTGCTCACTACTTCGTGCCGACTGTTTCCAGACCACTCAGGCATCCATCACCCCATAATAACATCATTCAAATTATGCCATTCCATTGGTCATGCGACGATCAAGGCCAAGACAAATATAATTGTCGAGTTCTTCATATATGGCGTTTGTGACCACGATTTCAAGATAAAACGGCTGCCAACTCGTTCTCAATCAATGTTGTGTAAGGTGCAATGACGCAATGGAACCACGACGTATTGAGAGGCATGTGTACTACATGAGGTATCGTGCCATCATATCCAATGCTCGCTTCAATATCTTGAAATGTGGGGCATTACCTTTAACCAAATCCTGGACGCTCCATTGACCGAATGAAGAAAACATTCCAAAATTGACAATATGTCAATTTTGTGTATATTTTATTTGTGTATTTTGTTGTGTATCTGTAGGAGATAAGAGATATATCTGGAATCAGTATTTTCACGAAGCCTGGAAAACTTCAGGCACTGCTCATGGTCCCTTTCCGTAAAAAGAAACAGATGTAGCGCAGGGATGGAGCAGGGGTGAGATGCAGGGATGTTTTTCTAACATTTCGAGAGAACCCCTTGCCGAAATGCATGCTTTATGTCCAAGATAGCCGCCCACATCATGTCATACAACTTCAACATCTACAACCGGCCGGGGTGATGCATCTTAATGCGTCATCTCCCGGACATATTGATATTTCATTCAGACCATCTGGCGCTTGGACGAAATAATTGACGTTCCAGACTCATCTGTCTTCTACGGCGCCCACTGGGCGAACACCGTTCCGAACGATTCCTCTCAGGGGGTAGGCCGCTGACGTGTCTGGCCATTAAAAACAGCCGCCGGTGCTGCGGCTATAATACATTCTGGTGTCTGACACGGGTAACGACCACAAGCGGCGGATCAGCATATGTAAATGCACAGCACTGATATTTTTCTCTTACACAACGCGCGATCAATAAATAGCACACTTGTTCATGTAGAGCGGATAATGTAGTTGTCTGCGTGCAGTCTTCACCCGCGCCCGGCCAGGGGTCTGAGACGCCCGCGCACGGCCAGGGGTCTGAGACGCCCGCGCCCGGCCAGGGGTATGAGACGCCCGCGCCCGGCCAGGGGTATGAGACGCCCGCGCCCGGCCAGGAGTCTGAGACGCCCGTGCCCGGCCAGGGGTATGAGACGCCCGTGCCCGGCCAGGGGTATGAGACGCCCGTGCCCGGCCAGGGGTCTGAGACACCCGCGCCCGGCCAGGGGTCTGAGACGCCCGCGCCCGGCCAGGGGTCTGAGACACCCGCGCCCGGCCAGGGGTCTGAGACGCCCGCGCTCGGCCAGGGGCCTGAGACGCCCGCGCCCGGCCAGGGGTCTGAGACGCCCGCGCCCGGCCAGGGGTCTGAGACGCCCGTGCCCGGCCAGGGGTATGAGACGCCCGCGCCCGGCCAGGGGTCTGAGACACCCGTGCCCGGCCAGG